CTTTTTTATTTTTTTTTTTGCTCAAACCTTATAACGACATTTTATGTATGAAAAAAGGACTTTTGATATTAGTTTGAGGTCTGGCTGCAAAGCTAATACGAGTATAAGACTCGAGTCCGAACATTTTTTTTTTTACCTTTTCACAAATGTTCCGAAATTTACAAATGATTTTTATTTGTATGTTGTAAAACACAAGGCTACATAATGAGCTGTTTGTAATGTGCTCACCAGGGGAATAAAAATCCTATTTTCAGCGTCATAAATCTAGAAAGTTAAAGCTGCGCTATTGGAAAAACTATTTTTTTTTTAGATACATACGTGAATATATTTTAAGATTAAACATTTGTGCATGTAAATATGAAGTAGTGTTTTTCACTTTGTAATAGATTTCTTCAGATGTGGATTAATGTAGTATTATTCAGTGTTTAAATTACAGAAACATCGGTATGTACAAATATTGCTGTTTCCATTTTAAGATGGGGTAGACTTAGCAAAAATAGTAAACAAATTATACAGTAGTGAATTTTACTAAGTGAATTAAAAAAATAACTTTTTAATGGTGTTTGAATACATTCCTGATGAACAAGACTACACTGTTATTTCTTTTGCAGATCAAACTAACTTGAAACTCTTCTTTATAAGAGGGCCAAACATATTTGGGTTCATGAGGGCTGGGCGTGGCACTTGTTTTGTGTGTTGGACTGTTGGTAAGAGTTTGCATGATGCACGTTCGATTGCTGCAAAATCACTTTTCGCATTTTGGGGCCATGGGTTCATTAAAAGAATGTCGGTCAAATCACTCTATTAGATTAGAGTAGACTAAGAGTCAGGAATTGAGTATCGAATTTTAAATTTAGATTGATTTGATCCGCAGATACATTGTTGAGTTTCGTCAATGTTTATTTTATTGTTCAGCTTATTCATTAGGTCATAAGACATGTACTACATACAAAATCTGAGTGACAGCTAAATGATTATTGATTAAGTTGAACCTTAAGTGAATTAGAGTCACACATAAATTGATATATCGTACTTAAGAGCCGGAGTTGTATGAACTTTGTAATTCTAAAAGACCACACCTTGAGACACACATCCAGGGCACGACGTTGCATACCTAGTAGATGTTTGACGTCATTACACGTTCGTGACGGAACAGGAAAGTTGATCAGTATTGTATTATATATGTGTGGGTGCGTGTGTATAACGAGCTAGAAATTTAGGGCTCATTACTGATGTTAAGAAACTTGTGCAGCTAGAACAAAACCGTTCAGACAGCCTGTAATCATTATATCGCATAAACGTTTTGTTCATAAAATGAAATATCGTTTTTTTGTGTTTCTAAAGTCTAGCAGTCTAATTGCCTATGCAGTGTCAAAGACAACCTTGATTGGCATCTGCTTTATACACTGTCCTCCTAAGTTTCAATAATCTGTTCTGAGAACTTGTTCTCTTGTCAAGTACATGAACCAGACATAAATAGCAAAATTAGTTTGTTTGTTTAAATTTACGAGGGGCTACTGCACCAGACGTTCCTAATTTTGAGGTGAAAGGTTAGGGGGAAGGAAGCCAGTCAATACCACCCTCCGTCAACTCTTAAGCTAGTCTTGTCAGACCAAAAAGTGGGATTTGATGACCAATCTTACAACGCACACACGGCTCCAAAATATGAAGCGCGGCTTTTTGTGTTTTTGTTTTAATGGGATGCGAACCATGAAATTTCAGCTCCACAATCCTCCATGTTAATCACTTCTAATACCAATTATAAGGCAATAAAATAATGATATAAACGTACCACAGAGTCAAATTCAAATAATTACGCTACGGGTTAAAATTTAAGTCAATACAAATACGTTGCTGAGCTGATTTAAAGATGACTTCGGATTAGAAATTATACGACTAATTATTTTGAATTAATTCTAGCAGTTGAAAAGTTGTTAGCCAATTAAAGGATGAAGTGAAATTACGGATTCTAGAAAAACGTCTTATAAGTGCAACTCTGAAACCATTTAAAACAACTCAACACAGCTTCTTCTTCTTCTGAAGTTCGAAGAAAATTCAATTTTACGTACTTGGCCAGAATAACTGGTGCTATTAGGTGAGACATATTCTAAGCAATACTATAACAAGTGTATTGTACAGTTTGTTCCTATTATTGTTTCAAAGCTAAACAGAGACATATTCTCAGCAATACTATAACAAGTGTCTTGTACAGTTTGTTCCTATTATTGTTTCAAAGCTAAACATAATGATAACGTTGTGGTCTAAACTTATCACGTTATCTTTTCAAATGGCCCCAAAAATGATCTATAGAGCTAAGACCTAAGATTTAGTTGGAACATTGTGAATATGTTGTAAATATTATTTCCAATCCTATTTCTCAATATCAATAAGTGAACGCTTTTCATACTTCAGCGTTTTGGATGTTGTACCATCACATTCTTGATATTATTGCATTGTCTCATGCACATATCTTACGTGATCAAGCATTTTCTCTTTTAGTTTTCCACGTCTCCAGTTTAATAACTAATCCTCTCTCAAATTAACATAATTCCTGACATTTTCGATATTTTACTCACACTTTGATTTGTATTTATATATGTAAACTCACTGAGCTCCCTTGCAGTTTTTGGACATATATTCTGTTCACACACTTAAAAACTTAGAAAAAAGAAAAGTCAATGATTGTTCGTAGCTTACACTATTAGAGTAATACAACACTGTTTTATCCAAAGAGAAGCAATTAATTTAAAATTAATTATTTCTCTATAGATTATTTCTATTGGTCTATTGTGCACTAGGTACAGGTACCTTTGGGCGAGTATCTTTGTGTAGAGATAAAGTAACGACCAGCTATTATGCAATGAAAATCTTAGAGATGGCCGACGTCATCAAGTTAAAGCAAGTGGAACATGTGAAAAACGAAAAGACCATTCTTCAGCAAATTAGACATCCCTTTATAATCAACATGTAAGTGGTTTATAAAATTTCTCGATGAATGTAGAGTAATTTTTGGATAGTTCTCAGTATTTCTCGCAACTGCCTATCATAAGTGTTATCAAATGCTTAAATAGTTTGAGATTGGTTTTACTACTTCTATATAGAGGCTAAAATCTCTCTGAATGAAGAGAATCAGAAGTTTCAAGATGATGATGTAAATTTCAGTTTTGTTTTAAAATATTCTTATTTAACTACATCTCCCTCTTAAAGTCATTTCAATATGTTTATTGTGTTCCATTTGGTAAATACATTTCATGTTGTTTACTCATTCAAGGGTATGGACAACACACGATGATACGTCGCTTTACATGCTATTCGAGTATGTTTGTGGTGGCGAATTGTTCACGTACCTCAGAAACGCTGGTCGTTTCAGTAGTATCATTGGAAGTTTCTACGCTGCAGAAGTAGTGCTAGCCCTGGAGTACCTTCATAAGAAACAAATAGTTTACCGTGACTTGAAACCCGAAAACCTATTGTTAGACAGAGATGGACATCTGAAATTGACCGACTTTGGTTTTGCCAAAATTCTGAATGATAGGTAACTTTCAGTGCCTACTCCTTTAATTGTTACCATGACAAACCTTTTTTTTTATTTTTCTATCATAATACTTTAATATTACAACTGTGAAGGTGTGATTGACAAGATAGTTTAAAAGTACTCTCTATTAATTTTACATGTGAGCAATATCTTACATTTATATACACACATTTATATTCTCCCGAGCTTAATCTCTCCGTTTTTTTTTAGAATTCTGAGGAGTTTCTTAACTAAATATATATATATGTATATCATTCTAGACTTGGTTATTCAAACAGTGAGAAAGTAGGATTAGTCTTACAATGTGTACTAACATTCATGTTTAAGCTGCTGCCTTTAATACTAATTCAATGTATTAGTTCAGTCTTCCCGGATCGTACTATGGATACTATCATACTTCAGACTCATGTTTTTATGTGTTTCTGTGTGTGTGTGTGTGTTTTTCAGAATAAGATTCTTGTGAGTTTCAAGTAATAATATAAAAGGAACGGAAATGTTTCACACATAACATGTTGGTAGTGGATGCTGTCGTTGTTTATTTTAGAGCAAAGTCATCTTGGGCTATCTGTTGTGTCCAACGAGATGAATCGAACCCCGTATCTAAGCGTTCTAAATCCAAATACCGCTGTCCCACCGGGAGACCCATGCTGTCATTATAGTGTAGTTTGTTATGTTGAATTCTAGAATCTAGCGGAAAAGATAATGAATAGGTTTGTTGCATTATCCATACTAAAGTAACATACCAACCATCCTGTATCCTTTTACACTTATAGTTGCATAAACTTTGAGAAATCTGTTTGTTAAGGTTGTCTTTAATTTCAATAGAACCATTTTGGATGAATTCCAGACAACAAACCGTATATAAAGTGTATTTACATCTTTAGAACTTGATAAACAACATTACTTTTCAAATGTGTATTATTCAAGTAGCGTTATCACTAGCAAGCAGTTTTGCAGCATTGTTTTGTTGGATTTATTATTATTTAGTTTTTTCATATACAAAATATATTATTGCACTTATACGTTGATGAACATTTTTGTAGCGTTTAATTTAATTATTAAGTTGTGTTTCGTTCTTCATGATAAAAGTATACTTAATTTAATACAAATGCTTGCTTTACGTGATTAAGAATATGATTATTTACATACAAAAATACTGATGGTATGCACAAACTTTTGGTGTAGGAGTAAAACGATTTGATCAACAATGACAGCTCTATTAACAGTTTCTAATTTTCTGTACATTCTATTATGTGCAGAACGTGGACCTTATGTGGAACGCCGGAATATTTAGCACCAGAAATCATCCAGAGTAAAGGTCACAACAAAGCTGTAGACTGGTGGGCTTTAGGAATTCTCATATATGAAATGTTGTCTGGGTGAGATGATATTTTTTTTATTTCAAACTTCTCTCTCGAGTATATAAGAAAAAAGGATTGTATTTTGAAACGATTTTTGGCAATGATTTGCAGCAAAAGTGACTGAACATTATTGGTTCTAGGTTTCATTGGTATTGGAGGAACTGGAACTGATAGATGTAATAAACTTATTTCGTAGTTAAAATCCATCAGAATATGTATATACTGTTTTCCTTATGTCACTTATATGATGTTTTAAACGGCTAGGTTGCCTAAACGTTATTAAAGCTAGGTTAATTTATTGAATTGAAAATATTAAATCCAAAAGGTATTTTAATTACATACTTGACGGGTTTATAAATGAATATTCTGTGGATACAATACATACCAAGAAGGTTTATTCATGAAGGTCCTGCAGACAACCTATATTCTAAAAAGGATTTATTGACATATATATTGCAGATAAACTATATATCACAAAGATTTATTAATAAATAATCTATGGATAAGCTATATCCCGAAGAAGGTTTATTAAGAAATTACCTGGAGATAAAGGACAATGCCTAGCCTATAGTTAGCTTGCTCTGACTGTGAGCTAATGATTCGTGGTTACAGCATAAACGCATTTCTCACGTTGGTGTCGTCTGTGTGAGTGACGGTCAAATCCACTATTCGGTTAGACAAGAGTAACCTAAGAGCTGGCGGTGGGTGCTGTTGACAAAGTGCCTTTTCTCTAGTCTATGAGCTCAAAATTATGGACAGCTATGTGCTTTAATTGCGGTAAAATTCTGGAATGAAAAAAATGCTGCGGAAACTTATATCCCGATGTAAGTTTATTAATATATATCCTGCTGGTAAGCTGTATCCAAAAGAAGCTTTCTTATTAAATATCCTGCTGGTATGTTATATCTAGAAGAAGGTTTATTAATAAATATTCTGTTGGTAGGTTATATTTAGACAAAGCTTTCTTACTAAATATCCTGCTGGTATGTTATATCCAGAAGAAGGTTTATTAATAAATATTCTGTTGGTATGTTATATCCAGAAGAAGGTTTATTAATAAATATCCTGCTCGTAAGCTATATCCAGAAGAAGGTTTATAAGTAAATATTCTCTGAGTAAACTATATTATGAGCGTATATCCTATGAAAATAAATCAAATCCCTAAAATAGTTTATATTATGTATATTGCAAATAGGATATACATCGATACAAGTTTTGAAACATATATTTTACTGATAGACTGTACATTTAGGTTGGTTTGTTAAAATTCAAAGTAACACTGAACTTTTTACCCATTTTATTGCAAATTCACTGAAGTTGTATAGTTGAATGTCTATCGCTGTTTGCATTACGTTTTATTGTTAGTTTTAACATTGTGAATCTAGTGTCAACCTTTTAATTACAAAGATAAGTTACTTGATACACTATCCTCGAACTGAGACCGAATATTTACCTGCACAGTATGCAGCATAAAGTATCCTTACATTTATAATGATATGAATGGAAATTCATCGCGATCATAGATATATTGCACACATTTATTGGAGTGTGCTCTCTAGCACTCTCTATGTAGGGATGTCACGTACTAAAGCAATACAAAAGTCATCTGGATTTTCTTCTCTACAGTTCATCAGAAGCTAGATATGAGGAGCTATCTGGCATAGTCGCTCTATCTCCGTTGTATATGCCACTTTTCAGCTATCCAGAGCGCCCCAAAGTTGAAAACTGGCGAATAACCAAAACCAAGATTTCTTATTTTCGTTCATTATTATTTTTCTTCCTTCAACAGGCCTAGCAACTACCTAGTTCTAGCAGTAACTATAATTTTATCATCATTTGATAGAGCTAAACAGTCTTCACGATCTTTGACTACGTGTTTTATTATTATTGTATGCAAAATTAAAAAAAAAGAAAACAACAACATAATTGTAGTACAAACGACGTTATTATCCCTTGAAGTAGCTTTCTTACAGAAGTCTGGTGTTCCTTTAAAAAAGTTTAAGTACAGGGTGAAACAGGAATTACCAGCCCATAATAGCTTAACATTAGATGACTGTAACATGTAGAATACTTAATGCTTTGTAAACTATATAGTCGGTGTCTTTAGGAAGCCAACCTCTATACTATGTATGAAGTGAAGGAGTATATAAAAACACGTACAGTTCATCAGAAACTAGATAAAAAGAGATAACTGGCATAGTCGATCTATCTCCAGCGTATGTGCCGCTTTTCAGCTACCCAGAGCGTCCAAGAGTTGAAAACGGGCAACAGGCCTACCCCTACCTAGTTCTCGCAGTAACTATAATTTTATCATCATTTGTAAGAGCAAAACAGTCTTCGCAATCTTTTACTATAGATTCTATTATTATTCTATGCAAAATTTATAAAGCTTTAGAATACACTCTATAACCTTGTAACAAACAAGTATAAGGAAATTATCACTAAATAAAAAGTTATGACTACCGAACTTGAAAAAAGGAACCGAACAAGATAGGGATGGAAGTAGATATATCACTTGATCGGCTAATGATCACATAGTAGACTAAGCTGTCTCGACTTTACATGGAGGATAAAATCCCTACATTACTGACTTCCTCACTGCAAAACAAGTTCCAATCCTAAAAATGCTGCTTATCTATTGTAAAATACTCATAAAAGGAGTGTTCTAAAGTTAACTAAAGGAAATATATTTATAATGATGAAAGCTGAGATTCTATTTAAACACCAAGCTTTCGATAAACAATGTGGCCAGCCCTACACAGTTTTTTATTTAGCGATACATTTTTTTCCCTTATACTTGTGTATTCAGTGCTATAGTACTAACGTTATTTATGTTTATTAAAAAAATATTAGGCGTGAAATATCAATTTAGATGAATTATTACTTTGAAAACTTTATGCTGTATATATATATACATTTCCTAAATAAACTTAGTCTTCGTAATTTTACATTTACTGTTAAGTACCTGAAACTAATCTGTTTACATCTAAAAATAATTATAAATTATTTGCAAAGAAGGATTTTATTATATAAACTGCTGTCTCTAAAACAAATACTTACTTATTAATCCCTTATTTTTCGATATCATGATTAGAAATCAGTTCAAATTTTCATTTTGTAAATAGGGAAAATAAGTAATTTTATCGGAAAGAGTATACTGCAGAAATGTGACTCTTATATCTTAAAAATAGGTATCCACCGTATTTTGATGAGAACCCGTTTGCTATATACGAGAAGATCTTGGCAGGAAAGATTGAGTGGCCGCGACACATTGACCCAGTTGCTAAGTAAGCAGAAAAGGTCTCTCATAGTCAGTTCACACATTATATTTCATTAATGGTCAATTTAATGTATATAAAAACTGGTTCCGTTTTTTGTCTTTTTTTTGAGTTAAAAAATTAATGAGATTTCTGTAAGATAGCTTGTAACGGTAGGATGGATAAAACACTTTATTTGTTATGTTTGTTTTATTTCTGATCAAAATGCTCTAGAGCAGTTAAAGTTAAAAAAATACTCAGCATTACATATTACATTTCTACTGACAACCATATAAATTATATGGCTTGTACAATATCACAAAATAACATGCTTGTTTATCATAACTGTTAACAATGTGCAATTTAAAATGAGTTTGCATGTTAGTTAAATAATCCATTAGAATATGAAACCTAATAAATCATACTACATTCTAACGGTAGATTTCTATTATAGAACTTCTAACATTTTGATTTATTTAACTTTACGTCTCTACAGTATCTGCATATTTTTCTAGAGATCTAATAAAGAAGTTATTAGTTCAAGATCGAACAAAAAGAATAGGAAACATGAAGGTAAGATGTTCATCAGGAATGTTTTTGCTTTACTTAAGGTCTAAACTTATACATTTGTATAAATACTTTACTGTAAAAAACTTAATTATTTTAGGAAGTAATTAACTATTAACTATAGAACTGGTAACAGCAAAACCAGTCTGAACAGTGCTAGAAATCCTGAATTTCTTTACAGAGGGCGTTATAAGTGATCTTTCGACATTGGTTTACATCAACATACTGACACGTTTTTTAACACATTTCCCCAGCGTTTAATTTTTCTTATGGTACAAGCTTTATCTGTCATCCAATATCATATTCCAATAACGGTTTTATCTACTAGCTCGGTGGAAGTTTAACAACATTATTTCAACAGGAAACATAAGAAAGTGACAATTTAGATATATGTCAAACAACTTTGATTTAATCCAAATGGGATATTCTACTTAAAGGGATTTTATAAGAACACAAAAATACGATTGTGGTTTCTTATGAAGCTGTTAAATCTAAAAAGCCGACTGATACGTAAATAAAATATGTTTTTTCTTCTGGTCTGTAAATTAATGTTAAATATATTTACATAAATATAAATATATATATGTACACACACACACACACACACACATATATATATATGTATGTATGCGTCTGTGTGTCTTTGTGACAAGTAAAGAGGAATTTTCGGAGGTCATACATTGTAAAATAATTAATTTTTTAAAATAAAAGCTCTAACTAATCATACACTGCATTTTAAGAATTTGCTTTATATAACAACATCATTGCTACACACACACACGCCCCCCAGTGGCACAGCGGTATGTCTGCGGACTTACAACGCTAGAATCCGGGTTTCGATACCCGTGGTGGGCAGAGCACAGATAGCCCTTGTGTAGCTTTGTGCATAATTAAAAACAAACAAACACACACACACACGCAAACAATCAGAATTTATTTGCTTAATGCTTAAACGTTAAATCATGTCTGCGTTTCTGTATTTGTCTGGTGTTACTGTTCAGCTTTAAATGACATTCAAACCATTCCTGGTAAACAACATTTCCATAATTATAAGAAGAAAGCCGTTATTCTTTGTATCATGTAACTTGATCTTTGCTTATTTTAGAACGGAGCTGAAGACGTTAAAAGACACAGGTGGTTTAAGGGAACCATCTGGGATGATATACTCAACAAGAGAGTCAAGGTATGCAAGACTTTGCAAACTATATGCTTTATCATTTTAAGGAAGATTACTTGTCTGCTCAGATTTAAAATTTTGCTATTTGTGTTTACTTTTTTGCATATTTACATTATAAGCTGATGTAATATTTAGATACTTCGCGCGTGAAATAGTTAATAGCTTATACTTTTAGCTATGCACGAAACCTTCAAAAGTCATGAAGTTATGTGCGTAAATAGATTATGTGGTAAGATAATTCGATTATAACTCTATAGCCTCACATCAGGGGCAAATAATAATAATTAATTAAACTACAAAAATAATATTCAACAGATACCTATTTAAAAGCCACCCAGTGGCACAGCGGTATGTCTGCAGACTTACAACGCTAGACTTACAACACAGATAGCCCGTTGTTTAGCTTTGCGCTTAACTTAAAAAAACAACAAAGAAAATTTATTTAAAAAATAAAGAAAAATGTGCATATCGTTCTAACATATTTAGGCAACACATATGCTTAATTTTCTGCTCGTATCACTAAATGAAAATATAAATAAAACTGGGAAAACATTAATCAACCATTATCTTTTTATAACTCTTTACACAAACTCCACTACTAAATTGTATAAAACTAACAACTTATTTTCATTTCTTTGTTTGTTATTAAGCACAGAACTACACAATGGGCTATTTGTGCTCTACTCGCCACTGGCATCGAAACCCGATTTTTAGCATCGAAAGCCTGCAGACTTGCCGCTGAGCCACTTGGGGACTTATTCTCATTTAAGTTTCAGTAAAGTTAATTACATACACAAAATCTTGAAGATAGGAAGTACACACAATCATAACTTATTTTAAATTGAGAAATATAACTGAAACACGTATAAAACTAAGAATGATTGACATTTTGAAAACGGATGGTAGAACTAATTTTTATTTTATGTTTACTAGATGCGTATAGTTTATCTATATTAATGTTTCAATGATTCAATGGGCTTAAGGTTCTTAATAAGATAAAAGTTAATTTTTACTCAGAATTAATAAAACTTTTGAAATATACAAATATACACGGTATTCAACTGTCACAACCATGATTAGACTCAACTTAAATATTATCTTAGCAAAATCTCCAATATCATGGATGCAGTTACCGATAGTTTAAATCTTTTATAAATGCACAAAGTGAAAAAAAAAACAAAACAAAAAACATTTAGTCGTATATATAGATTACCCCCCCCCCCCGAAATTTTGGAGGTAGAAGGATCACACTTAACTGGCAAACTTGGGGTAGCCCCCTGTATGCTCTTATCTATATGGCATAATCCCCCATATGAAGGAGGTAAAAAAAGCCTTCGGAAGGTCATACATGATGGAAGTCTAAGAGAACGTTTTCAGGGTCGCTAAACCTAAATCTGACATCATATTATATATTCCTTACCTCTCTCGAGATCCCAGGGGCGTCACTCACAAGCTAAGGAGACCAAACATGATATAAAGGTTCAGGAAGTACGGGCAGCTGTCTTAACGAGGTTTTTTTTTCGGGTATGGACCCATTGGGATAGCTATATAAATAACTGGGAATAATGGAGGAGATTGATTGGTACATTGGAGCCTCTGAATCATGAGGGAGTTTTGAATCCCTCAACAGAACGCAGGTATTTATGCCAGTCATAATAAAATCTAACGAAATGCGTTATCTAGAATTGGTATGTAGAATGTAAAAACAATTGAAAAACTCTCGCAAAACTCTCCATAATAATTAATTGAGTAACATTAAAGTTACATTCATACTTCTATAGGATTTCCTCGAAAATATATTTTTTGGAATAAAACACTTGTGTTGGTTGAACATTATTGTCAGTAAACGTTAAAAAATATGATACTTCTTCAAATAACAAAATTAAGGTGTTTTTAGTAGTTATCAGTAAATATCGACAATGAATGATGCCAACTGGTATTATCTATATAAATAATATGCTTACGTTTGTGTGTTTATCTGTCCGGAACTTTTTTCTCGCAAATTTCTCGATCACAAGATACAAATTTCATATCATTAGAAAGGTCTTTGTTCGAGGAGTCCGGATTGCATATTGGCTTTTCCATTCAGAATCACCTTACCTGATTTTTACTTAGGCAAACTTTTTAAAGCAACGAGTATGCTACATAATGTGACAATGTCGTTGTCATCACGTGACAACTGGCTTCGATTTCAACTTTAGTAGGCCCGGCATGGCCAGGTGGTTAGGGTGCTCGACTCGCAATCTGCGGGTTGCGGGTTCGAATCCCCGTCGCGCCAAACATGCTCGCCCTTTGAGCCGTGGGGGCATTATAATGTGACTGTCAATCCCACTATTCGTTGGTAAAAGAGTAGCCCAAGAGTTGGCGGTGGGTGGTGATGACTAGCTGCCTTCCCTCTAGTCTTACACTGCTAAATTAGGGACGGCTAGCGCAGATAGCCCTCGTGTAGCTTCGCGCGAAATTAAAAAACAAACAAACAAAAACAATCAAATTTAGTTTTTTATTTGCAAAGTATTTCACACAAACAACATTTAACCCGCGTGTAATTTCCTAAAAAAATTAACATTACTCTCTAGACAATTGCTATGGCCGTTCTCGACTTTTATAGGTCTAAAACTATTTACTTATCATTTTGAGAACAAACATTCAGACATTTCTAAATATTCAGCAAAGTTTGCTTTCATTACAGTTTTACATTTGCTTTACTTTGAAAATAGTTTTCAATGATATAGACTGCTATAAACACCTTTTAGCTACTTTTTCTTAAGTACGGGTTTTATTCTTCGCTTTTCTGAATTTATTTGCTTCAACCCGTAAAACTGTGTCATACACTGAACATTCATAACTGTTTCATGTTCTGTTCACTATTATAAATACCTTTACTAGGCTTTATTGGTTATTTTACGTGCAGTCTTATCGAATAAAGTTACGTACATGTAGTTTGTCTGGCCCTGCAAATGTTTTTCAAATAGATCATGATTTTTCGATCTAACACATAATACCTTGCAAGAAAGCGTAGCTTAAATGCCGTGCGTCAAAATGATAGAAAAAGAAAAATTCAAGGAAAGTGCATGAGAACTACCGCAAATGTTTTGCGGGTTGATGCTAGTAAATAATTATTATATGAATAGTTAATATCAGTGGTTGCTTGAATATGAAGAGTAGCCAAGGGCTGTACAATTTGAAACGTCTGAGAATAGAGAAGTGCAGGTTAGATGGAAACGTTATTGTCTTCTTGATATATATGGTATAATGAAACATTCAGGTTGATCTCATGAACGGAAAAGATCAGTCTAAGAAAGTCGGAATTTAACAAATGTATCATAATACTTGTATAATCTCTAGATCAAAGTAATGTTATATCTTCAAGATTTTAAACTGCAATTTATGCTTTTAATGAAAGCAACAGTCGTTTTATGTCATATACACATTTTCTTTCAGTATTAAAGGTCATCTTTCACAGATTGGAATTCAATACAATTTTTTGTACATCTTCCTAGAAAGGGACTTTTTTATCTCTTCAAAAGCATGTGTATCCATACGTACAGTTGCAGTAATCTTTAGCTAGAGATACACGTTGATTTCCAGCTTTGTGTAATTACTTGTTACCCTTTTATATCATCATTTATTTCTGGTTTACGAAAGATTCATCTAGGAAGTATGGATTTCACATTTTTAGCAAGTGTAAGCTCTTGTCCCACATCTTTGCTTTCACAGACGCGGATTGATCCTGTGGTAGAGGTTTGGATTTCGGAGTTGGCGAGCCGAGTTCAAATCGGTGAGGTACCACAAAATTCTCTTCGCAACTTTAGCTGTGGTTGCATTATACGAGCGGCAATCAATTTCTTGGCATAGATGGTGGATGGTAGAGTGCTGCTGACTGGCTGCTTTCTCTCTGGTCAATAGTTCAAAATCAAGGACGACAGCAGATAGCCATAGTAGTTTTGCCACAAATAAAAAAATTCTAAATTTACTCTTTCATGCATAAACAGTTTTACCTTATAATAACACAGTAAGGTAAATATTTGTTGTTGTTATTATTCTTAAATGCAAAGCTACACAATGGGCTGTCTGTGCTCTGCCCACCGCGGATATCGAAACCGTCTTCTTTAGCCTTATAAGCCTTTGGATTTACCAGTGAGTCACCGCGGGAGAGGGACAAGATAAATATTTAAAATGTAATATTAATTGCAATTGCTTGTGATTTTGGTCATAGTGATACTTGATAACGTATGGTAGGAAATTTTGTTTTATGTCAATTTGATTTTTCAACTGTCTCTCCTGTTTTTTACCTCTAGAACTTTTTAAGTAAAGTAATTTTCTTCAAGGTTTTGTTAAAGCATCTACAATTAGCTCTAATACCTTAAACATATCCTCCCTAGTATACACTTCACTGTCTATGGAAAATATCCTGAAATGTTTCATTTTTTCTGAAGATTTATTCTGTTCAGTCATTACACAACAACCGTTTGTAATAAACGGTTTAACAAAAATTTCGTATTTCATTATAATGAAAGTTAGTTGCTATATATGATAGTTTCCAACTTAATTAATACCAAGTCTCCTTTACTGTATACCAAATAGTTTTGAGAACTATTTCCATATATTTCCTTTTTATATAATGTAATTGGTGATGGGATTATAACAAAATCTAACAAAAATTTCTTCTCTTTCTACCCCCTGCTCTATGATTTTTTTCTGGAATAAACTAGCCTCCTCTACTACCATATGTCGGCTCTGATGGAGATACAAGGAATTTTGACAACTACCCGGAGAAGGACCAATTCAAGAGGTCACCACTCCTGAATACCAATGAACTGGAAAGTTTCAACGGCTTTTAGAATACTAAAGAAGACTTATTTGATTATGTACATAATAAATAATGTATTCTATAAACTAACAATCTAAAGAAGCTTGGCTTGTAAATAAAGAGACTAATTTTCATCCAGTGTTAAGTAACAACTCATCTCTTTGCGTCTATATAACATTTATCTGTTTTTCTCCTGCTTAATTCTATGGTATTTTGAATCTTAAAAGATCTCACCTAGCAAAAGTGCTCATTGCAAACTGTTTGTATGGATCTTATCTCTACAAATAGCCATTAAATACATTTAATAACTTCAACTTTGGTGCAATAATTCATCCTACCTTGACCAATTCATGTGAAGAAAATATACACGTGAAACTGAAAAACAAGAACTTGACTGGAGTGGTCCAGATCCTATATTTTAATATGCTGATAAAATGTTCAGTATAAGAGAAATTCTATTTGCAAGAGAGAAATTTCTTATACACACTAAAATAAATGCAAATTTAAGGATGCTTATTCTTTTTCTTGATCATTAATACGCCCCTAACATTTTTTCGTTAAACTTACGCTTTAGTTTTTTTCTCAGAAAAAGTTAAAGCTTTGTAAGAAGGTAATTGTTTAGTTGTTACTTCTTTTAAATGCAGGACAGTTTCAGATTTTGTATCCAGCTTTGGTGATGGTTTTAGTCATTGCTGTAAAATCATAAGATTCGTGGTTAACATAAGCAGTGGCGTTTTTTGTGATTAATACTGTGGTAATGATTTTTGGAAGAATTTTTGACCATACTGTTAATAGCATACATATTTCCCTCAAATAAATAATGACCTAATATTGTTGCATTACCATAAAAGACATTCTTGAAATAATGGTAATAGAAATAATTCATGTCGTAGACATAGTTGTTTGTTATAGATAAGAAAGTGTTTGGCCATATTAGTCTAAGATCTCTATTCTTAATAATTAAGGATTTAGGTTGCTGCACTTATGCCTGAAAGATTACCAGCCAGGTGTTGCACTTTCTTTATTTCTTGTTGCAAGAACCCTTTCCCTGTGTTAGATGCTGCAAAATGTCTATTACTTTCCTGTCTTCGTGTAAGAGGAAATAAATACTTTCATATAAGGACTAATTACACAATTACATTTTAATTAAATACAAATAAAAAAAACAAGCAAAGCTACATAGGCCACAAGTAGGTTGTGAAACACGCTGAAAATGATGCTAGAAAAACATAAATTAAAGAACAAAAACCAAAAAGCAGTTTTAATAACGCGTCTAGATTTGGTTTTATCTTGGCACTTATCCATTCCAAGTTTATTCCTCTCACAAACTGTTCAACGTATCTAGCCAAAATGTAATCAATCTCTTTGTTACTTGTTAACCTCCAGACTTAAAAACCACTAAAAGCAAGTAATGACTATATATATGTGCGTGTGTAATTTCTACTGCAGTTTATCACACTTTAATAAAAGTAACACCTATTTTTGTTCCTTAGAAGTAATTGAATCGTATGGTGGCATTGCTTTTTATCGGCATATAAGAAGCATAAGAAAACAAAGGCGCGATATGGTGGAACACTTGAAAATTTAATGGCTTTTGGTCTATAGAACAGCTCATATGAGGTTCAGCAAAAAGATTAACACATTATAACAAACAGTCAATGTTTATATTAATGATAAGCAGTTTTTTGAAAGTAACTTTACTGTTCTTAATTATATTTAATATATCTCAAAAATATATATTAACGTGTTTTTTGATACAATACTAACAGTAATATACTAAGCTTCCACAAAGTAGTTTATCTGATCTTTTATTCGGACTAAATGCAAAGAGAGAGTACATATGTATGTTATCATTATGTAACGTAGATAGTTTCGGATCAGACTTGAAAACTAAAAGATTAAAGCAACACATCAAATCTAATGTCTAATCTTGATCGCCAACTGTCGTTACAAGCTTGCGCTTTAGGTAACGCCCTGGGGTCATTAGAACTGACTAGATGCTAACAAGGTGGATTCACTAATTACTTCCTTGGGTGGGTCAGTAAAATTTACTGATGACCTCGATGGATCAGTGGAAATAATTACACTAGCTCTAGTATATATGATCCACTAAATACTGAATTCATGGGATCAGTAGATCCGGCTGATGACTAGCAAGAAAGACACAATAATTACTATGTTCAGTGTAAATAACAAACCGTTATGAACACATTAACAAGAAATTCTCCCCAAACAGTAGAGTTAATATTAATGAATTATATGTCATAAATATGTGATATTGCCATAACTTAAAACGTTTTCTTGAATATTTTGTGTGTTTGTTTATTCCTAAATACAAAACTATAAATGGGCTACCTGTACTTTAGTGAAAAAAAACCACAGTAAACGGAACTGTCAGAAGTCTGATATCAGAGAAACTAGTTTCGATACATTCGTGCGTCCTCTTCAGTCTCACGTTGTCTTCTGAATGTGTCGAAACTTGTTTCTCCAATATCACACTTCTGACAGTTTGTTCCGTTTACTGTGGTTTTTTCACTAATTGCTGTACACGATATTGTGTTATTTTATTATTACCTGTACTTTGCCCACAGTTTAAGAGTGAACTTAAATAAATCATATGATCGTCAAGTATTGACTCGGTTAAAACTAATTTATTATATAATATTTTTTATCAAAGATTTTATTATAGGTCTCAGTTATGTCTATTTATTCTAAAAACAACATTATTGAGTTAACAATTTAGTAAGAATAATTAAAACTGATTAGTAATATTGTGCTCTTGACAGCCTCCCGTCATTCCCAGTGTGAGCCACAATGGCGACACTCGATACTTTGACCGTTTTCCAGACAAGAAGTGGAAAAACGTCAAGGAAAAAGTAGAAGATGAGGGATTAGCGTATTTTAAAGATTTCTGAACGTTCCTAAAATTTAAGTTATATGAACAGCCTGATGAAAAAACTTATCGAGAGTCAATGGATTACATTATTATACACAACTGTGCTATTTCTTTCGAGAACATTCGTGTACAGGAAGTTACTGAGGAGTATTAAAAATGTTAACCTTTGAAAGTAAGTTTTTAAAATCAGTATGTTACTGAGAAAATTATTTGGGGACTTTGGTGTAAGTTACTATCAAACTATTAGCTTTTCGTATAAAAACTGTTGATGCTTAGTACTATATTAATCCTCAAAAATTAATTGTATATATATATATACAAGTCGTGAAACAGTTCATTAAGCTTATCTCTACAGTTTATAAATATAAAACTAATTTTACTTTATTTCCAAATTGTATTTCGTATAAACGTTAATTAGTTATTTTAAATAATCAAAGTTTCAACAGCTTAAGTATTAAATTAATATGTACCATTGTGACAAAAAGATTACAATTTAATCTGTATAAATCATTGAAGAAGGTCCTATTTACTGAGTGGATAATTTCGAAATACGTAAAAATGAAGAAACTTGTAGTGGTTATAATTTATTCATTTGGTTATTATGTACACTCGTCCAGTAAATGTTATATGCGTGTAGTATTTTATTTCTCCCGTAGTCTTGTATCATGTAATCCATATATATATTATTTCATTTTAACACACTCAGAATTAAAGTGAAATATTCATACGTTTTGGGCGAATGCTTTGGTTCTGATTCGAATATAAAAGTTTACTGTACTTAGTAAAAACCATCATTATTTTTACTAGTCAGAATAACATGTAAGGTTTCATGATTAAAAAGACGAGGATCTCCTTATAAAAAATAACACTTTCAAAGCAAATAAGAATTAACCTTGTTCTGTTTTGTTAGTAAGCTATAACTTCTTCTTAATAGATCTGATAACCTGAAAGTTCAGTTTCGGTTTGGTATCTTTGTGGTCCAAATGAAACAAAAATTATTTATGGATCTGTATTTATTTGTCTATCAATGTTCGAATATCCCATCAATTCTGAATATCAGTTCTGTATGAAAATTAATATCGTGTTTCATCATATGGCATTTTGACGTGGTACATTTCGTTTTTACTTTTAGGGTATTTAGTGTTTGCTTTTTTTGTCATACATTTTCATTATTTGATTTAAGCCTAAACTGAATATTTACAGAAGTGAACTGGCACAGACAAACCGGTACTACTATTTTAGGTTTTCACTCCTGTTATCAGTGCATCACTGACGTCATATGACGCTAATCAACTATATTTTTCATTATTTTTATTTTTCTAATTATAAATTAAAATAAAATTACACTATTTTTCGTCTTCATATATGCTATTAAAAAAAAAAAAAAGGAGACGGAAACGACAATATTAGCGACATCCAAAATACAGTTCTAATGAATGTATTACTGTTAATGTTTTAGTGGCAATATCTATTTAATAGTATTAATGTTTACAAGCCAGTAAATTAGTTAACAGTTGTTTATTTTTTTACATTAAATACCACTACATAAATTTATATGCCCAAAATTTAGTACCTATACAAGCTATGTAGTCATATTGTTTTCTTATCCAATGTTACATCATTGAATTGGAAACTTAACAATACAAGGAATCCGTCAATTTACGTGTTATCCACAAGAGATTTGTTGTATGTTTCAGTATTCATCAATTATTTCTTACCAGATGAATAATTTATTAAATAGAATTATGTTTTATTTCCATTTACTTTGTACAGGAAGTACTCTTGCATAATTCTAATATGTACAAAATTACCGATTAATTTTTGTTTGTCAGATTAACATTAGTGTATTTAGATAGCACATTACTTTAATGTGTGGATTTTTATATATATATATATATATATATATTGTTTTCGAGTTAATAAGAGCCTTGTTATGATCATCTAGCATATTAAAGCATTTCTATACAACAAGAAAATGTTCACATTGAACAACAACATACTTCTGTGAATAAAATATCGGTACATTTTATTTTGAAAGAAAAAGATTGATCTTATTAGAAGTATTTTTAGTAGTTGTGTAGGTATACAGTCCTACAAAATTATAGTATTAAGCTAATATGTTTCTAGTTGTCTCTTGTTTTTCTATCTCAATACTTAAACTGTCACACCAAAACAGTTGATAGTAAAATGCAAGATAGCTAATAAAATCTAATTTTATTTATTCCAATCACAAACTTTTGGTTTATCATGCATGAATGAATGTTTTGTAAGATCCTCTTTCGCAAATCATTTCCAACTATAAATTTGATCACTTCACCTGTAATTTTGTACGAAAATGTTTCTGCTCATCAGAATAAGTTCTTATAGGTTTATAGTTAAAATCTGCTTTTGATCGTTTTAAAAAGAATATACTGCAACTGATTAACATATTCGGTGAGAAAATACAACGAAAAAGATTTGTACATCATTTTCATTTTGAAATAAATGATAACAGACAATATAAAACAAAAAACGTTTTGTTCTAGAAAGTGGTTGAGTATTATACAATATACCACCCAGGAAGGGTTAGAAATAGAAAAGTTGCCTTATTTTAGTGTGCATGTAAGCTTTCTTGGCTTTGTTTCAAATTAATTCATGTAGAAACTTAACTTGATTTCTATTTCTGTTTCTTTGCGATCTTTTGATTTTTTAAGGTGTTTGTTGGGGTCATATTTCCATTTTGAAAGAACACCGAATGCATAAACCTTGAGTGTAGAAACCATGATTGAGACGTTCTAAAAACATGACTAAAAATAAAAATGTTGAGTGAATTCTTATCGTTTTTATCTAGTTCTCAATTTTTTTTTGTTTTTCTATCGAAGATGTTTCAGATATTAAACGACTATTTAAAATTTTACTAGATATTATTTTACCCATAATATTTTCTGGTTATCACCCTCATTTAAAACATAATTGTCAGTATTCTTTACCTATTGTTTTCAGTCATTTAAAACATAAATGCAAGTAAATACTGCAAACTGTTTTAACTGAATGTTCTTTAAAATTAATAAAATAAACATTTTTTATATAATTTTAACATAATTTAATATAATTATTCGTTGGTTTGAAGGAGCATCAAGTGATCTTTATTTCTGTAATCATACTATTAAAAGATTTTAGATGTAAGTGTGGTCTCCTGCAGATGAATTGATAACATTTTTGAAATATATTTAAACATATTTCTGTACATCATATCTAGGGATTAGTGGCTATTTTCTGCAAAGCTAATATTATTTAATTTTTAGCAATGTAACAACATCACCGTATTTTTCATTTTGTAAACTCCATTGATGGAATAGATATTTAACAGTTTTGAAAAATAAGATTGTCCAAAAATAATAGTCACACAGTTCTTTACAAGATTTTGTTTTCTATTTCTACTTACTACAAGATAATTAGATAAAAGACTTTACTAACTAGTAAGTTTCATTATGCTGAGCCCTGCCACTGGAAATGTGATAAAATTGAGCTGACACAAAGAAAAATCCATTAAGAATAAGTGATTTTGACAAATCTAATAAATTTTCTAATATTAATATGAACTTCAAATACAAAATATTTCATGATTAAAAATATTAAATATGACATTCAGAACTATGCACCTCACTGTATCATCTATAGAGAAAATATTTTTTTGGGATACATTTCAAGGTATTTCACAACTTAGAAAAAAAAAGTGAAATTTAGAGATATTTGATTGGATTTCTGGAAACTGATAAAAGCTACATGAATAATTTAATGATTAAAATAATGTTGCATGTAGAGCTCACACTTGTACAATACAGATACTTCATAGAAGAAACTGTATATGACTGCTGAGGAGAATGAAGATTTACACATTAAGCTATAAAATTGTAAAAGAAAGTTACAATGAACTTTCATTAAAACATTTCATAATATGTTTCATTACAAGGAAATCAATTTCTTTGAATTTCACTAGTTTCTTTTTCCATTTCCCGCGATCAGGTGCTCTGAATTAATATTATTTTCCATTTCCCATGATCAGGTGCTCTGAATTTATTTTACCATTCAAGATAAAAGACAATGTAGTTTGAGAATTAATACTGGTTATTTTACTCAATAATAAGCAAGTAAACAATACAATATTTTTTACAGAAAGTCAATTGTCACTGTTTTAGTCAACATTTACCTATTGTTTTCAATAACAAGGTAACACACAATAGCATAATTCATTGAATATTTTTAGTAGAGAATCAAAGACAACTGTTCTAACATGTAATATAAACTGTAAATAATTAAATACCCAAGTACCAAAATTCTGAATAAACCTGAGAGCAGAAAAATTTGTTTTGAAAGGAAGATAATAGTAACAACTGTATCATTATATACAAACTTCGAAATGAGACTCAAAATTCATGGACTTGAAAACTAAATATTCCACTTTCGCTAAAAAAAAAATAAAATTAGGATTTTATGAGCAAACAGTTTTGTTATTCACAGGTTTCTTTTATGACTTTCAAATACAAAAAGTTAATTATTTTTTCTTTAATCAGTAATCATATTTTACAGTTTTAATATTGGACAAAGTAATGCACAAATTAAAAATGTTTAACATTTTTCATGTTTTCTAATTACTTTATAAAATATTTCATAAGGTAATGAAAGTAATACTCAGCAAACCTATGTTTAGGTATATAGCATTCACAATATCTTTTATTTAAATCTAGAAGGCAATGGGATCAGAAATAACATGACAATTTAACTTATCTTTATTTATAATTTTACAAACTTAAAAAAAATGACTGTAAAAAAAAGTGAATGTTTAGAGAAAGAACTATGAAAACATTTTGCAACAGAAGTCACCGAAAGAGGTATGTGTACATATTACAAATATAATGATTCTACAAATCAATTAAAATACACAAAAAAACAAAGAGAAACATATCAATGAAAAATCTTATGAGAATAATACCCCATCCGTAGGCCTAATTCCTCATAACAGCAATGGGAACTTGGAAGATGAAAAAATATTAGCCAGCAATACTAACAAGGAAGCAATCACAGCAACACATTTTATCTTCTTCCTCATTACGATGTTTTCAAAGAGGGATGTTTCCATGCTTTTTCCAAGGATTAGTTAACTTTTTACGCTGAAGCAAGTCAAGATCCCGGCAAATGCGCATTCGTGTGGTGCGAGGCTCTATGATGTCATCCACAAATCCTGCAACACAAAAATTTAAGTGTGATTTTATTTCACTTTTGTTTTGGTTTATAAGAAAATGTAACATAAAATAAGAATTACTCTTGATATGCTCAGGAATAATAGAATGAGGGATAAGAATTATTTCTGTATATCATACAAAGATCAACAGATAGACTAATATTTCAATAGAAATACATAAATAAGAAAAGAAATTCATTCATTTTCAAACGTTTCCACAGTAGGTTTACAATATGTTAAGTTTTTTTCATAATGACTTTTATAAATTGTTCTACCATGAAAAACATACCAATAATATCTAATATAGCAGTGCATACAACAGAATTAAATAAACTGTCTTAATTTAGTATATAGTCCATAACACAATTCCTTACTAACACTTGATTTTCATTTATAAGTAAGAATTAAATGCATCAATGTATATCTTCAAAGTTCAATGAATTGTTAGTACTTTAATGATATTTACAAATAATTGCTTGAATCACTAGTAGCCTTAGTTTGCATTGAAAAATATTTCTGTAGTTAATAAGCATGAATCAAACTAAAAAAGCATACCAACTGTACAACTAAAGCTTATGCACTGTTGTTTTCACTTTGTTCCCTGTTAATTACTTGAAAAAATAAGAGTGTAAGTTGCCTAAGATGTAATCTTTCAACACTTTAGTTTTATGATTGGTACCTTACCTCTTATGGCTGCAGGGAAAGGATTTCCAAATGTTTCCATATATTCCTGAGCATAACGTTCTATATCCTCTTTACCACGATAGATAATAGAGACAGCTCCCTTTGCCCCCATCACAGCAACCTCAGCTGTTGGCCAAGCATAGTTAATGTCACCTCTGAGATGTTTTGAGCTCATCACATCATAAGCACCACCATATGCCTAAAATGTATAAACCAAATTTATAACTAAAATCAAGACAAGGATATAAACAAAGTTTGATTTGGTTTGTTTTGAATTTCACGCAAAGCTACACAAGGACTATCTGCACTAGCTGTCTCTAATTTAGCAGTGAAAAACTAGAGGGAAGGCAGCTAGTCATCACCACCCACTACAAACTTTTGGGTTACTCTTTTACCAACGAATAGTGTGACTGACCGTCACATTATAACTCCTCCAAGGCTGAAAGGGTGAGCATTTTGGTGTGATGGGTATTTGACAAGACAAGAATATAAACAAACAGTTTGCAACCAAAGTGAAGACAAGAA